CGTTCTAGTTCGAATGATTGTAGTTCAAAAGAAGTGAGTGAAAGAAACAAAATATATTGTTGATGTTGATTTGAAGTTAAGTGATGAAAACAATCATAGATAGATGAGTGAATTTGTAGTCCATTATGTTGGAATCGTGTTTGTAGATGCGAATGTTGTTTGAAAGGATCTAATAGAATAACTTTTTCAGATGCATGAACGAGTGATTGATGAGTATTGTTTGAATGAGTCGATATAGTTTTATATAACCAACATGATATGCAACAGATAAAAATGATGCTGCAAAATATAATTAACAGAAAACAAATTAAGACAATAGGAGATCCTTGTAATGTCATGGAAGCCGTATGTAGTACTTTCATAGTTCTCTCTTTTTCAAATTCATCGGAAAACGAAATGATGGTTGCATTTTCCGATAAATTGTTTGTATCATTGAATGTGGTAGGTATCGGTATATTGGTCATGTTCATACCTACAGAAACAAATGGTATGTTATAGTAAAGATTGCAAACTGGTAAAAAAGCGTTATAATAGATATCGCCATTCGCAGTCGCCAAAAGTTATCAAGCAATCTCGACAGCAAAAGAATATTAATACATAGAGTTCTGGGAGATAAGCAAGCGTTAATCGATCTTTTTATTTTACAAAATAGTATCAAAGAAAGACTCCGTGATAGGAATAAGTTGTTATTAATAATATAGTGAACAACGAAAATCCACTGGCAGACCTACCCATGTCACTGTATCTTCCGTAAGGTTCGTTAGACACTGACAGTATAGCTGACATTTGTGTCCCTATAATCCAAGAACTAATTATACCAAGTGATAGAATGACTGCGACAATAATTATACAACATTTGATGATGATATTGGTCCAAATAACATTCGAATACATTATTATATCTTTCGGTTTCAATCTTTTATTAGCTATTTTAAGTGATTTCTTCGACTGTAATGTTATTTTTTCAGTCATTTTAGTATATTCTTCTTGTGCATCTCTAAATAACACGGTTTAAATTAAGAGAGCTCTAAAATATGTAATAAATTCAAACTTTGCTAGTTCCATAAGTGCTTGACGTTTGACATCATTGATAATTGAATTCTCTATTGCAATAAGATATAAATTCCAAGTTTTATACCAAATCTACAAATAAATTTTTTATTTATCAACTTTAATGTTTGAATACTTACGTTGCTTTCATTTTCAATAGGCACTGACAGACAAAGCAGATTATTCTCTTGCATTTCGATCAATTTCTGACTATTAGTTCTAGTAGCCATTGATTCAGTATTCATGCTTTCACACATTATTGATTTTATATATCACGCATATTACGTTCTTTTGTTTACGTGCTAAATAATCATCAGGTGTGCATACGATGTTTCAATTCGTTTTTAATTACCTGAATGTAACCAATAGAATGTTTGGCGATAAAATAGATAAATCAAAATTTAAAAAATTTACTACTTATATCAACGTAGTACCTTAAAATAAGCACCTTTATTTATTCTCTTATAGAATATTAATCTGTTGTTAACTATTGTATGGATTCGCTAAAATTATACATCAAAATTCATTATCGGTTTGCACTTTTATATTGTCAAACAGCTGTACATCAAATCATCTTATTTTTCTTTTTTCGAAAATCTCAATCTTTGGCGTTTCGACATTTCGTAGAATAAATAGAAAACTTTAAATATTATCTATGTTGTTTCTGATGAGTATACATCAGAGCCTGGAAAGAATCAATAAATAATGTATGAATTGTATTTTATCTAACTGATAACATTTTAATCTCCCTGTTAAAGCAACCTAATAAAATAAATTTACTTTGTGCATAAACTAAAAATAAATTACCATGTGATATTTTCTCTCATAGTTCATATGTTTATTTTCTCAGCATTATCATCATTGATAAACTATTTTCTACACAGACCGATTGAGTAGTGCATGTCAATAATGACAATGCAAAATAAGAAGGATAAATTCACTCTACAAATCAATTTTTTCTTCAGTATTATCATCATCATACACTGGTAACATGCTTCTATCTCAGCATATTATTTTTATTGCAAGTATTGTACTTATTGGTGCTGTTGGAAGATCAGCAGCCGGTCAAAATTGGGCAGTACTTGTAGCTGGTTCAAATGGTTGGTATAACTATAGACATCAATCTGATGTATGCCATGCATATCAAATTTTACATAAAAATGGTATTCCAGATTCAAATATTATTGTTATGATGTATGATGATCTGGCTAAAGATAAACAGTAGGTTATTTTTTCTCGAATTTAATAAATATTATATTGTTTTTTTCTCCTAGAAATCCAACAAAAGGTGTAATTATCAATCATCCAGATGGCCAAGATGTCTATAAAGGTGTACCACATGATTATACTGGCAAAGTAAGATATTTAATAAATTTAAATCAGGAAAATTTATTTGAATTTGATTTTCAGACTGTTACACCTAAAAACTTTATTAACGTCTTACTTGGTAAAAAAGATCTTATGAAAGGCGTTGGTAGTGGCAAAGTTCTTGAAAGGTATATAATTAATACTCGTTGAATATCTATATATTTTATTTTATTAGTGGTCCCGATGATAATGTTTTCATCTATTTCACTGATCATGGTGCTACTGGTAAGTTTTCATGTTTTAATTATATACTTAAAATTCGTTTTTCTTTTCAATTAGGCCTGGTCGCTTTCCCAACAGGCGTTGTATGTTTTCTCGTGTTTTTTTTATTGCAAATTAAATTCTTCTATTTTCCTTAGCTTTATGCCAAAGACTTAAACAAAACAATTGCAGAAATGCATACAGAAAAAAAATATAAAGAAGTATAGAATTTCTTTTTTTTTACAAAAAAAACTAATTCATATATTTCATTCATAGATGGTTATCTATATCGAAGCTTGTGAATCTGGTTCAATGCTTGAAGGTTTATTACCTGATAATATTAATATTTATGCAACAACCGCATCAAATGCTGAAGAATCATCTTATGCATGTTATTATGATGCTAAACGTGAAACTTATTTAGGTGATTTATATTCAGTTAATTGGATGGAAGATTCTGATGCTGAAGATATTACAAAAGAAACATTATTTAAACAATTTCAAGTTACACAACAGACCACAAACTTAAGTCATGTTATGCAATATGGTGATCTTGTATGTTTAGTTTCGAAGGAAATTCTTTCTTATAAACTTTTTTTATAAATTTAGACCTTGGGTGCATCACATAATGTTATTGAATTTCAAGGTGCCAATAAAACTAATAAACAACAATCAGCTGGTCGTATGAACACATTACTTAAAGTAATAAGATATGAAGAAAAAAACTTTTTTTATTAATAAATTTTATATTTTTAGGGTGATGCTGTTGCTACAGTTGATGTTCGTCAATCAATCTTATCACATCGTTTAGCTAAATTCGCCGTTAATTCTATTGAAAGAATGCAATTAGAACGTGAACTTGCTCAAACTACTGAAGTAAATTTTTTTAGTTACTTCAAAAAAAAAAATATATAGTTATATTTTTTTTTCTAGCAACGAGAAATTATTTCCAAAACAATTGATTCAATTGCTCAAATAGCATTTCAAGTTAATCGTGCTAATGCTTATGAAACAGTTACTTCCAAACGTATGAAACTTACTCAACATGATTGTTATAAAGCTGCTACACAACATATTCATGAAAAATGTTTTGATATTCAAGTTTGTCTACATTTTTTTTAGTATTATATACTATTTTCATTAAATTTCTTTAGAATGAATATGCTTTGAATAAATTATGGATTGTTGCTAATCTTTGTGAAATTGGTCTTCAAAGCTTTACTATTAATCATGCTATTGATAATGTTTGTGATGCTCTTGGTCGTCAAAATTTTCAATATTAATAATATCTATTTTTTTCTTTTTATTGTAATAAATAATAAAAAAAAGCGTACGTAGTTATTTATATCCTATTTTTTCTCTCTAGCATTAATCTTTGAATTGATTTTAAATGAAACGAACGGATGTTCAAGGTTAAGAAAATTCTTTTTACTTCGACAACACTTTTTTTCCCTTGTTATGATCGCTGAAAACATCTTGTTCAAGGTTTTTTTTTCTAAAGGAAAAAAATATGATATAAACCTTGAAAAACATCCTAAAAGTTCATATAATAATTCTATTCTCATTAATACATATACTATATCATAGATGTCGTCAATTCATTTTACTAAACTATGAAAAAAATCTACATAATATAGTAATTGATATGGTTAATTGAATCATTGATGTGTGTTACAAGCGTCATTAAATTATTAATAAAAGCATAACTAATCGAATATTTATTTAAAGTAAAACGATAAAAATAATGTTAATAGAATTAAATAGAATTTTACTGATAGATATGAACTATTACTTGGTAGTCGACCATAAATATCTGTAATATTATAACGATACAAGACTTTTTTCACAGCTTCTATTGTTAATGGACCATTACATAGCATTCGATTACATTTCACAGTCATCATAGCAAAATTACCAGAATCATAAATATTAATGCTAGACGATTGTTGAGTACTACGTTGACATGAACGTCGATGAAGTTTATATTTGATAAGATCATCAATAATTTGACATGAACCAGTTATTCCAGTAACTGAACATTGACGAATAGAATCATTCGCATCAAAACATACTAAATCATCTGATGAATTCGATTTTCTATTTAAAATTCGTTGAAGATCAAAATAAATATTTGAAATATTCATAAATCGTTGTGTCATTTCTAGAATTGTTTTTTCAGCAAAAATTCTTGCACAATCATCTTCATCTTTACATGAATGATTAATATCATATGAAAAAAATGTATTCGTTGCTGTTTCAATCATAATAAAATGTCTATTATCATTAATACTCTGATCATGTAAAATATCACCTGGAAATGTAACAATATAATTTCGACGTTCATACCAAAAAACAAGTTTAACTGAACAACGATGACTTGATATATAAGTACAATTATTTGGTAGAAAAAATGATTGATTCATTGAATAAATCATTGAACAATTATTTATACATTGTAAACTATGAACTACATTGAAAATCGAGACGAATAATACGAGTAAAAATATCATTATCGTATTTTCTTTTCCTATCCAAAATGAATCTAATTGTATGTTCTTAACATAGATAAACAAAAGCAGTTTATATATATATATATATATACATATGGGCTATTATTAAAGAAAAATATTCTGGTAGTTCGGAAAATGCCAGTATATCGTTGTTTATCTTGTCAACCTCAATGTCATTGTCCTTAGATTGAGACACTAATGGTTATATATATATACATATATATATATGTAAATGAAAGAATTGCATAAAGTTTTATTTTAGACATGTCATCAAACTAGAAAAAAGAAAAATTTTCTTTCATTCAATAGTATTAAATATTTTCCGATAGAGAATTTCTTATAATAGAACAATCAATTAATAAATATTGAATGTGTTCCTGGTTACGATGATGTAATATTACATAAAAATGAGCCAATTAAATAATGTTGCCTTTTATTTATAACTATATCTATATCATTAATAAAACTGTCCTTCTATTTAAAAGAAAAAAAATCTTGTCATTTGATCTTTATAAAATCAATATCATCTTTATTAAATATTGAAACCATTTTTAGTTGTTCTGCGACAATCAACACATGTCTGATGCTTATGTATGAACCTTGAATCAGCACAATGACTACGACGACGATGACGAGAATGAAAGCATTAGGCACTTGTAATGTGATGCAATAATGAAAAGCTGAGTATGAGCAAGTAAGAGAGAGAGCAAAAAAAAAAGAGAGAGCGACAGAGAGAGAATGCTGGAGCTCACCACATTCGATTAATCTTTCATCATCAAGGAGCTGTCCTTCTTTTTTTTACGTATTTTTCAGTCTGTTACTTCGCACAAACTTAACAACGGTAAACATACTATAGTTTTTATTTTGAGAGTTACATAGAAAAAAAAACAGATCAGTTGAAAAAAAAACGAAATTATTATCAATCTTATACGGTATGTTATTAAATTTCTTTTTTCACACTTCTATGTATAAGTATTGATTCAATTGTTTCGAAACGTAATTGAACGCACACTTTAATAAGATATTCAAATAAGACTTCGCTATATTGATTAGGAAGACAAACAATAGCAAGATTGAATAATTAAGTAAAGAAAAAAGTTTTTTTTCTTCTATAATAATAATAGAATAGATCGATTATATCTTGTTCCTATTGTTAAATGTGTTATATAATCAATCAGAGTATATAATACTTCTTCTTCTTCTTCTTCGAAAAAAAGGGCAGATGTGGAGAAATTCAATGAAATGATTTTGACAGATGCTGTGCAAACTTTTCTTTTCGAATGAAATATGTATATATAACCAGTGGGCATATTATCATTATCTATTACTCAAATGTTTATTGAAATAGGTAAATGATTAAGTATCATTATTATTCATTCGTTATTGATTGAAATTATATCTAACTCTTAACTTATGAAAGTTGATAGCTTTATTCATTATTTTTTTTAAATAAGTTTTGAAGGACATGTAAGGATACTTGTATCAAAAAAAAATTTACTTTGGATGTGTTCGTAAATAATTAATACTTCGAAAAATGACACCGAACGAATAATTGATATGGTATATTAGAAAATAAGTTTTATAATATTTGACATGTAATTATCTTTATTACAATGTTAATTAGAAAGAAAATGTAAGTTATTCATATGAAAACAGTATCGATTATAGACATTCAATTAGTTGAACGAAAACATAGAATGTGAATATAAACAAAGAGAAATCATGAGAAAATATATCAGCTTCTTTTGTATATATTTTTCTTTTCTTTCTCGTTTATATGATCTACTAGTTCGGTATTATTAATGAGAAAGAAATGCAATGTTAACCGAGATATAAGACATCTTCTATAAAGAAAAAGAAAGAAATAGTGGATCATAGAATAATAATAATAATAATAATATCGTCGACGAGACTATATTATAGGCACGGGTTTGTCTAAATAGTTGATAACGAGATTCTGCTCTGTGCACCCTACTGACTGTTGACAATATTACAAGCGTTGGCATCATCTTGGGATCAATACCATATCAATAGATAACAGATTTTTATGCTTTTTTTTCTTCCTTGTTGATCATCATCATTATTTTTCCACTAATCATGACAACTGAGATTCATCATCTTCTCCTCGACGAAATCGTATATATGCTTTTATATTTGCATCAATTCACTTTCTTCGTGGACAACACATGTAAGATTGTCTAGCCATTCATTCTGTATTTATTTGATCGGTATATATCGATCGTACTAATTATATGCGTGCATCTGTATATGTATGTACTTGTCTGCTCATGGCTTACAATCTCAGTGTCATCTACTGTCTCTTTTTTTTTTCATTTTGTACGTTCAAAAAAAGAAACGGAGGATAATATCAACTAGAGAGAGGAAGAGAATGACAAGCGTAAGTAATAATCACTGGAGCGTTCGATTGGCGCATCCGAAGTATAGGCGATACTCACAGAAGAAAGAATAGCTTGCTCATTATTCTGTCTGTGTCCCTCAGCTTTTTTCCACGAGCTCCGAAAAAAAAAGAAAAAAAGAAGGAAGAGCAATGCGAACAAAGCAAATGCGAACTGCGTAAGCTAATACATACATACATACATACATATATACGTATATATATGTATTTCCTTTAATCTTATAAAAGATAAATCGATATTTTTAAGGTATTTTTTCATCTATTTAGTATGTACAATTCCGTTTTAAAATCTTCTTCAAACATTTCATTAATTTCCGATGAATCAATGTCACCGGGAACAACAAATTCAAGTCTTTTACCAATTATGCGTAATGAATATAGTCTTGATAGCGTGTGCTGTACAAGACGAACTTTACATACATTTTCACATATGTGGATTGTTGAAAATTTCTCATCATATCTTGAAGATCCTGAACCAATTATTTGTTTATCATCATCACCATTTAGTCCCGTATCAGGTTGTAGTGTAGCAACACAATGGCGTCTTGTTTGTTATCCAAAAGGTAATTATGGTGCATCATCAAATTATATGTCAATATTCCTTGAATACATCAAAGGTGAACGTGACATAAAAGCTAAAGCTGAATATTCACTTGTTAATCGTAAATGTGAATTAACTGAAATGCGTAAAGATGCACAATTTTCAATTTATAAATGTGGTAATTCACGTGGTTTTATAAATTATGTTAAATTTGATACATTAACATTAGTCGAGAATGAAACACTCGATGATGATAAACTTAAAATTTATGTACGTATAACAATTATGGATGATGCTATAACAGAAGAAACTAAATATCAAGAATTTGATGATAATGAAAGTGTTAATTTTACAACACGTGGTTTTGAAAGTCTTGTTAAAGATTTTACTCAACTTTTACTTCAATCAACATCAAAAATGAGTGATATTAAAATAAGAGTTACTGTACCATATGGAGATTGTAATAGTGACGATTCATTTGAATCTCCTGTTACTTTTCATGCACATAAATTAATTCTTGCTGCACGATCACCTGTATTTGCAGCAATGTTTTCTAATCGTACATTAGAAAATACAACAAATACAATTGATATTAATGATTTACATCCAAATACAATTCAATCAATGCTTGAGTATATGTATACAGGCAAAGTAACTGATATAAAAAATTCTACAGTTGAATTATATCGTTGTGCTGATAAATATCAATTAGAAGATTTACGTTCACAAGCTGAAATGGCATTAATGAATTCATTATCGATTGATACAAGTGCAGAAATTTTATTACTTGCTGATCAACATCATTCGGAAGATCTTAAATCTCGTGTTATTCAATTTATTGTTAGTGGTAATCTTAAGGCTATAACACAAACAGATGGTTGGCATAGATATGTTGCTTGTACTCCTGATTTAGTTACTGAAGTTATACAAGCAACAGCTATTGAATAAATGAATAGATCGATTTTTTTCTCTCTTTTACTAACGCCTAGTCACCTTATCTTATATTTATCAAGGACAAACTATCGATGTAAAGATTTCTTTTTTGTATTAAAAATTCTGTTTTTTTATTTTGTTTCTCCTTCAGTTTTAATCATATGAACATATGTCGAGAGAAATGAAGCGATAAAGGACATTTTTTTTGTTTGTCATTTATTATATTTTTAATGTCCCTGGAAGAAGGTGACTAGTATATTAATCAAACTTTACACTATCATGGATGAATAAACAAGAAAGACTAAAAAAAAAAAGAATATGATTTTTTTTTCATGTTTAACAAGTTAGATTTGTAACAGCTGTTGAATTTGTTAGTTTTGTAGATTCTCGTGTATTATTATTATTGAAAAGATCTTGTAATTGTTCAATATCATCAGAAGTTGTAGATGGAATGAGGTTTGAAGTTAAAGATTCGAATAGATCATTACTTTGTAAATGATTTCTAAGTTTTCTTGTTTAATTTTACTCGTAGAATCATTTTCAGATGTTTTCATAGATAGAGAAGAAAATAGTTGTTGTATGTCGTCGGTACTATCGATAATTTGAGATATTGTCGTATCAGAAATTGAAGGACTAGGTGTTCAATCAAGTAATTCAATAAAACCCACAATGAAATAATTTTATATAAATTAAAAAAAGTAGTGGGAAAACTATTCATAATTTGATCTATTTTATTTTTAAACATTAGATCTTTATTTTGGATGACCTATGTTATCAAATTCAAAACAGAAAACAAACGTTACCGAACACGGTACTAAGTATTCAAACACTGTGCTGAACAACGGTAGAAAAAGAGACAGAAGAAAAGAAAAAAGATGCAATCACAAAAGAAGCAAAAGTAAATTCACCTGTTCACTGGGTTTAAAATTCGGTTTTGGTCTGCACTGGTTTCATTCGAATACCTTCTAATATAAAATCAAGTTTTTGTGCGACTTTTTTACACCCTGATACAGAATAAAGTTGTGCATCTGGTGGTGAGAATTCAATTAAATCAAGAACTTTAGCAACAATGTCATTATCAGATAATTTATATTGATATTCTTCATGTTTACGAACAATAGCAAGTTGTCGTTGAATACAGGTACTAACATGTGAACGTTCAAGTGGTAAAAATGGTACAAAAAAATCTACTAAATGCCGATTAATTAATGATGCATGCCATAATCCACCTTGAATAAGAATTAAAATACGAGATTATATACAAAACTATTAAGAGAAAAAAAATAGTTTCCAAACCTTCTTCATTATGCGCAGCATTTCCAAGTTCTTTTTGAAATTCCGCTATCTTATAATCCTCACGCTTTACAGAATCTAAATGATATTTAAAAGCTATACGATTGATTTCTTTTCCACCGGTATTGCTAAAGAATAAATGGTCATGTTTCTTCAAAAGAAAATTGTCATAGTTTTGTTTTTACCTTAAAAAAATAAATATAGTTTTACGAAAATCAATTGGTATGGGATATCTTTCAGTATAAAAATGAGTATAATGCAAAATAATTTCCAATAATAATGACTGAACATAAGGTTTATCAACTTCATCAAAAATAAATGTTGCATGTTCACAAGTACTTGTTCCTTTTTCAATATCTTTCTTAATTCGAGCCTATGCACAAAAAAAAGAAAGATATTGTTAAATGATTTTTATCCATTTACATACCTTGTATTCTTGAATACTATGTTCATCATCGTGCATGAAATCACGAGAAGCAACATACAGTCGAACATATCCACTTTTGTAGCCTTTTTTGTAAAGACTTTCGACAATAAGTTTACTAATAAAATTTTTTCCTAAATAAAAAAGATGGATAAAAATAATCAGTTAAATAGTTATCTAAAATCTAGTATTGAAATTCGAATTATGATGAACACAAATGTCTTGTCATAGTAACGACACTTTTCGTTTCCCATCATTTTACAATACACGTATTACGTTTTATAAGAAAAAGAAAATATCAAGTATCACTGTTGATACGATTCACTGCGAAAGTCTGAAAGAAGCCTTACATTGACATTCTTTATTTTTTTATTAATCTTAGCAAGAATCTTAACGAACTTCCAACATAGATTAGAAAATTTTTAAACAATATCGGTGTTCTTATTTAGTAGTTGTAGATGGTTAATTATCTAAATATTCCATTGCCTGATCAATACAATATTACCGTATCCTTAACCTTATTTCTATTACTTAAACTTGCACCAAAAACGAATATGCATTTAATAAAAGTAATCACTTCTCCTCTCCAAACATATATATGAATAGTATACAAAAATCAAACTTGATTATATTTACCTGTGCCAGTACTTCCATGTAACAAAAGCACAAGTGCTTTAGCTGGATTTTTGGTATTTATATGTGCTTTAATGGATGTATGTATGACATTACGTGCAATTGGTTGCCCCATTAGTTGATCTTTCATTCGTATATCTAGTTCTTTAAACAAAAGAAATGCATCCTAGCTAAAGTTTGGAATTTTCTGGCAAAGTCTACCTGTCATATTTTGTGGTACCCAATACTTTGAACAACATTCCCAGAAGCAAAATGCCTGTACAAAGTTTACAATATTTACCATGAATTTTTGTTTTGTTTTAAATCTTCAACAAAAAACAACGAACGACATATATAATGGATTTTTCGAAAAAGTAAAATGAGCAGCACTGTTATGAACACAAAAAAATAATATTTATCAAAATATCAAGAAATTATTTAAAAAAAAACAAAATAACACATGAAAAATAATATGTTCGAATAAAAGAATTATTATTATTTTTGAGTAGAATTAGTAAGATCAGTGTCATCATTATTTGTATCCATAATAAATTGTCTCAAACAACCAACAGCACTGAAATAACCCTAAAAAAGAAACAAAATATAAAATTTCAAATAACGAAGCTTCATTTTTCATACTTCATGTTCAAGAAATATTGCTTTTATTTTGCCACGTGACCAATAATCCATTGCATAAGCTAATATTCTCATTGATACTTCATTAATACGTAAAAAGCTACCGCTGAATAACACTCGATCAACATTCTATATAGATATAAATAACAAAATTATATTTAATAGGCTTATTTTACCTCAGTTTGAGCACACATCATTGAAATTGAACCAATATTATTTAGAACTGTTACTAAAGTAGCTCGAGCTAAATCAGCTTTTGATGCTTGTTCACGTTTCTCTAATAAATTCATATGACCAAAACTAAATAATATGAAATAGATGAAAAGAACTGCAATGAGAAAAACGCTCGTATTTAGATGAGTAAAGTTCAACAATTCATAACTTTCCGGAATAAAACAAATAATATACTGAATCTTATTGATTATTTCTATTATAGAAATATGTTCGATGACTTGCTGTGAAAGTTTTCAATCCATAAAATAGCAAGTTGCTAATAGAACTACATATATATTTTATATACTGATGTGTCTTGTGTAAGCTACACTTAGAAAGAAATCAATCACAGATGAAATTTATAAATTTAATCATGAAACATGTATTTATAGTAAAAATAGAAGATATGAAACTTCCCGTATGAATCAACGTTATTGAAAAAGCATTTAGAAACGATCGATTATCAGTATAAGCAATAACTCGTATTATCAAAAAGATTAGCAAGTGATAGTGTTATAATTCAACACATCTTTATAGTTATAAGGTAGTACAAGCAATTAGATTATGTACAGTACATAATTTAGAATACCTCCAAAATTCGTTTTTTTCTCTAAATTATTCTTCAACTAGCATTTAGCTAGATAGCATAACTTGCCTACATTCTACAGGTATTTCTTTGCAAATTTTTCCAGTACTAAATAATTTTCAAATGAAGATATATAATAATCTTTCAAATTTCTATTGCTCAGCAAAACATACAATTTAGTTTTCAATTTACCTGCTTGCTACAATATGACCAGGTAAACCAAATCTTTCATAATCACCACCATATATATCTTTAACTAATTTATCAACCTAATTATTATATATAAAATTAAATAAATATTTCACAAAAAAATGCAATTTACTTTAGTACTATCTCCTTCCGAAGCTAACTGAATAGCTTCATCATAACTTGAACATCCTGTTAATAAACAACATAAACCCAAAAAAGTACCACCACCTATACTAAAATACAAAAACATAAGAAAAAAATTGTTATATCTATCATTACAAAATTTTCTTGTATCTAACCTTGTACCAGTTATACGTCGATAACTACTTTCTGATTCAACATGTAAAATACTAATGCCACTTCCGATATTAACTAGAAGAAATGGATGTTTTATATCGAATACAAATGGATGTTTATTTGGATTAGCATCATTTTGTGGTTCTTCGTAATAAAAACATTCTTTTGAATTAAGTTTACTTATATAACATAAACCTTTCATTAATGTATCGAGTTCATCACATTTACACCAACTTATTTGTAATTTCTAAATTGAAAAAAACGAAAAAAATCAATCTAAAATTCTTTTTTTGTAAGAATATTTACATCAACAATATCTTTCTCAAATTTATAAGCACCA